AGCTCTGGCAAATGAGTTCAGTTCTCTGGGATATGCTAGGAAGAAAGTTTGTGGCAAAAGTGTTACTTCCCTGGTGTCCAAACTCTGTGCACAGTCCTTATTAGTAACTACAGTTCTTGTTTTTCCATCCCTGGCTCAACAAATATGAAAACTTGTCATTATTCTGAGAAATTCAATTGTTAACAGCTCATCTGATACCATAGAATACTTACCAAGGTCCCACTACCCACACCCTACCATATTTTTTTCTTTATAACAAGCCATGAACATCCCATTTATTAGTTTCTTAATGTAAACAACCTCAGGTAAGATGAGCACAAAGCTCAGTATCAAACGTGGAGGACTTTCTAGGGTGGTTAGTCTAAGCCATGGAGCACTGTAATTTTAGACTTCTCAAATAAGCCTTCACTGAGAAGTCAGTTTAAAACATCGGCATGTCCTAGGAATTAAAATGTGTTCCCTCACTTCAGTCTTTCTTCACACCTTCACCTCCTCAAGATTTTAGTAGTATATATATGTATACACCCACACCCTCAATTTTCACTAGCAATAGGCTTTACCATCTTTACCTGACAATGACCCCAGGGCGGAGATCAAAATTCTTCTTCACAATCTCTAATAGCTCTCTCTCACTCTTCTGAGAGGTACCATAATGGAAAATGGAGATAGACAATGGATGAGAAACTCCAATAGCATAAGAGACCTAAAAGGATTCAAATGTCATAAGAGTCAGTGATTGAAAGAGCCATACAACTTGTGTAATACACTGGTATAAAACTGACAAGCAGTTAAACAGATTACTAAATACCCTCCCCCCCCACTTACATGACTTTTAATCACTCCAGTTATGTAAAAGAATATATACCTGAACAAGAACCCTCCTGCACAGACCTCCTTTAACAAGGGATTTTGCTACCCAACGAGCAGCATAAGCAGCTGAACGGTCCACCTTGGTATAATCCTTTCCTGAAAAGGCACCTCCTCCATGAGCTCCCCAACCGCCATAAGTGTCCACAATGATTTTCCGGCCAGTCAAACCAGCATCACCCTGAAATTACAGGATTTAAGTCACTCTATGCCTAATCCTTTCCAACAAGTGGTTCTAGATTAGGTTGCCTACTCCGTATGACTCAACAAATGTCCTCAGATGATTCACATGTAGGCTTCAGAAAGCCTAGAAAAAAGGTGGTAGTAGCCAAAATTTTATAAGTAACCAAAGATCCAGAAAAATACACTGAATTGACATTACCTGAGGCCCACCAATAACAAATCTGCCACTTGGCTGTAGGTGGTAGATTGTATCTTCATCAAGATATTTTGCAGGTACAACAGCTTTGATGACTTTGTCCTTTAGGGCATCCCTCATCTCATCAAGACAAACTTCCTCATCATGCTGAACAGATATGACAATTGTGTGGACTCTGATGGGAAGCACAGCACCTCTATCCTGCATATACTGCACAGTCACCTAAAGGCAACACAGGTCATCAGAACATCAGTCTACCAAACAATAGCTGTATACTTGGTTCTCTACCTTAAGTTACAATACTGCAAAACATAAGTGCTATTCTTTTTTCAGTTAGCCAACTATAATTAACTATGCATTTTCTATGCTGATTTAACATGTGAGATAATCTAGCTTTATGATCACTTACTTGAGTTTTAGAGTCTGGGCGCAACCAAGGCAAAGTGCCATTGCGGCGTAGTTCTGCTAGTTTGGCATTGAGCTTGTGTGCTAAGACAATGGTTAAAGGCATACACTCCTCAGTTTCATCGGTGGCATAGCCAAACATCAAGCCCTAAAAAAGAATGTCACCAGATGCAATCAATTCAAGCTTTAGAACTTAACATCAGAAGAGAGATGAAGATAGCTTCCACACTGCCAAGATACCTGGTCTCCAGCACCAATGTCTTCCTCATTCCGGTCAAGATGAACACCTTGAGCAATATCTGGTGACTGTTGCTCCAAGGCTACCAGCACATTGCAAGTCTTGTAGTCAAACCCTATAAACCAAACACAATGCCTTGTTTAGGAAAAAAAAAAAAAAAAAGAGGTCACAGCAATACCTTATTTGGAATTCTAAATACTGCTAAAGAAATCAGATATATCTAAATCATTATACCTTTTAGAAAATGCAATAGCGATGGACCAAAAGGCTTAAAGAGTATAATAAAACCACCAATTAGCAGGAACATTCTAGAAGATAAGTTTCTTCATTCAGAACTAGCTTTATCTGGAAAAATAAGCTCAGGAAAGCAAAATCATTAAGACACACCTTTGGAAGAATCATCATATCCAATGTGTTTAATAGTTTCACGAACCACCTTCTGGTAGTCAACAGCAGCTCTGGATGTAATTTCCCCAGCAAGAAGGATCATTCCAGTCTTAGCAACAGTTTCTAATAAAAGAGATTCAATTCAAATCTCACTTTTATAAAATAACTTTCATGATGTTACTTTTTTGTACCAGTTGATAAGCAAACACATGTTCTGAACCTACCACAAGCCACTTTGGCATCAGGGTCCTGTTGAAGGTGCGCATCAAGGACAGCATCACTGATCTGGTCACAAATCTTATCTGGAAAAGAAATTCCTGGCTCAATTTCTTTAACTTACTATCAGTCTAAGTACGCTGTGCTCCACCACTCCCTATCACTCCACTGTAAAATCTTTGGAGATTTTTTTAAAAACCACGTCAAAACCTGACATACAACCATCCTAAAGTCAACAATTCAGTTGCATTAAGTATGGAGATCTTAAATGCTGTCTGATTAAAGCACTGCTTTACCAGAAGCCATTTGCCTGAATAATAAATGCTGGATACTTGTTCTGAACTTGGTTTCTTTCTGTCTTAAAAATTTAAAAATAAAAGAGATGCTATACAGTGGCACAAGCTCACCATTTCAGATAAGCCACAACACCAACACATTTAATATATATCTCTTAACCTTTTATGATATAGGCACTTCACCTTCAAAATTTAAATTTGCATTTTAACTCCAACCAGAAGGGTGAACTGTTTAAGCTATTTCTTAAGGACTAGTATTTCCCTATATTATACAATATTCAATTCTATAAGTGTTTCAAAGCCCCTGTGTACCTAGAGGTCTGGTAGAACTGAGGCCCCACATGCAGACCAGTCTCCTGAATCTTAAGCAACGCCAATTAGGGCAACAAGATAATTCAATTAAAGAATTAAAACAAAGAAAGGCACTTTATTAACAAAAGGAATAAAATAGCAATTATTTGATTTTGTTAGAGAAGCTGTATAGGAACAAGTGCTCAACAGACTGGAAAACGCCCAAATGTATTTTGTATCATGGAGTTTCTCCCTATTGTATTTGTCATCTGTTTGGGGGAAGAATATCCCCCCAAATTCAAATTAACTTTCCCGAGTTCTCTTTAATCATTCAGAACAGAATCCAAGCAAAACGTATATTGCGCCCAAGTAAGAGGCTCAAGACTTCTATCAACTATTATAACACCTGACTTTCGGCACTCATCAGGATCTCGGGTCTGTCCTCTTACCACTAAGTTGCACGTGGGATTTCATCATAGGCACATAGGCTAACTAGAGAAACGGACCCTAAAGCCATCAGAATAGAGATCTATGTTTCTGTGGTCACCCTAGGGCAGAAGCAGCCGAAATGGCAAAATAACGATCTTCACTAGGTGATGTAGTCAAGCTGAGATTGAAAATTCCTGGAAATAGCTTCACTCCTTGACGTGTAAATTGATCCCCATAATGGCGGTTCAGCGGACAAAGCCCTGAGAGGGAAATCTTAAGCACAACCTTGCCTCAACGGCAAAGCACCAAAGACTTTAAAAGGAAACCCATCGCAATGGCAGCTATTAATTCATGCTTCCCATCCTTTTCACATATGGTCCAAATAAGGACTGTCTTCAACAAGCGCTATATTTAGTTGAAGTCTGTCACCTTGAAGGCAAAGCCATATTCGCCGAAGGGCACGTCCGTATTCTTCACTGTGCAGTAATGACCGAAGCCACGGAGATAATGGAAACAGAAGACGACCCAAGGCACCGGCACCCCACCCTTCAAACCGACGGCTCCCCCAGGCCCAGCTGCCACATGCGGCAAACACGTGGTTGCCGCTGCAATGCGGGGCGCGCGCTCCCGAGGGCCGGACGCGAGCAGGCGGGGCGGGTCGCCCACTCGAGGTCTTACAGACCGCCAGGCTGAGAGGAGTTAAAAATGCCCTCCCCGGTCAGAACTCAAGCTGCCGCGGCCCCCGCCCTTCTCGTTTTCTGGAATCTTCCGCATGCCGAGGCGCGCGGCCGGATGGGAGGGGAAAGGAGAGGAGGGGGAGGGGAGTGGCGGCCACGCGCTCGGCACCGGCGCCGCCACGAGGAAGGCGCGCGGCCGCCACTCTGCCCACCGCCCGGCGGATGGGGCACCCCGCGCGGGCCCCGCCGTCAGCCGGCCCTAGCCAGCCCGGCCCGGCGCTGCCCGACGCCCAGCCCCCCCGTTCGCTCGGGGCCTGGTCACCTCACCTGGGTGGCCTTCCCCCACAGACTCTGAGGTGAAGAGGAATGTGCCCTCCTCGATGAACGCCTCGTGGAAGCCGTTGAGCTGCCCGTTCATGTTGGTGTCGGTGAGTGAAAGTGGCGTTGAAGAGAAGCAGCAGCGGCGAGGCGGCGACTGCGAGACGCGCAGGCAGAAGACCGCGTTCTACTGAGAGCGAGCGGGCGGGCGGCGCGGAGCGAACGGGGCGGCGGGCGGCTCCGCCCAGTATTTATAGAGCAGCGCCAGCGCGCGCCCGGCCCGGGCCCCGCCCCTCAGCGCCCCGCGCCAATGCGCCACTCGCGCGGGGGTCGGGGAGCGAGGGCAGTGCACCCCGCGGAGCCAGGGCTGAACCACTCTGCGAGGCGGGGGGAAGCAGCGAAGGAAACTCGCTCCACCTGCGACTATTTAGCTATCTTAAGCAGGTATAACAAAGGGCAGGTGGAAACGTGAGTGGAGTGTGCTGTTTCTCCCTTCCCTGTTCGATGTGGGAGGAAAAAGCGACTAGGGCTTTATGGACTGGCTCCCCTGTTCTCTGACATGGCACCTCCCTTTCGACCGTTGGCCCAGAGATCTGTGCCGGAGGGCGCGTCCCCCAGCGGTGGCAGCTGGAATCGCGGAGGTTTTGTGCTCTGGCTCTTCCTAGGGGTCTTTCTGGCTGCCCCGCCTTTGGATACCGGGTAACAGCGGCTCTCGGACATGCGAAAGTGGCCATCTTGGCCGGTCAGCGTACGATTCTTAGCACGGCCTTATTCGCCCCGGCCCTGCTCGCTGCCAGCTGCTAGAAATGACTAGGGGCGCCAGCCCAGTTGCTAATAATTTCTTGATTAATGACTCTGGAGAAAATGGCCAGAAGGCAGAGTAATGAGAGTGCTGTCATCGATTTAAGCAATTGCCATCCTTGCCCCGTCCCCTGCGCTTTAGTTTCTGAGAGGGACCCTCACCCCTCGTTGGCCCTGAAGTGAAGGCCGCGCTCATCCTTTACTCCGTCACGGAGAAAGGAGGCCGCTGCCAAAGCCGTCCTTTTACTAGCAGTGTCTTTGAGGGGGGAAACATTTAGACTGTCATTTCAATGTTCTGATCTGGAGAATATTGAACAAATAATTATTTTTCTTGGGAAGAGGAAAGCCCTATTCAAGCCCTTGAATGTGCTTAAGCAGATCTCTTCACTAGGTGAAATGGTCTGTTTCATGCAGCTTTCGTTTTAAAACGTCCACCTGCGTTCGTCCCAGTTTTGCCCAATAAAGGAATTATAGAGAAGGAAGGAAAAAAGAGCAAAACAAAACTTGAGCTAAGAAGAAGCAGGGAGTCAGGAACCGATTTCGTGGAGTCCCGTCTGGAAGGGCCCACGGTGAGGGCGGACGTCACTTCAGCTCCTGCAGGGGCTGGTGTCGTGGTGGCCTGAGCAGAGCGCGTGACAGGAACGCCTGGCTTAATGACGTTAAGGGGCACGGCCTGCTCCTAGCACGGGAGGCACTTCACACTGGGGAGATGAGCAAGACCCTTGTAACAGCCTCCAGCTGCCTATTGCCCAAAGAACTAGGTAAATGCTGAAGAACAATCCTCTCCGCCTGTGCGGGAGGGAAGGTGGGAGTTTGCCAAAGGCTCACTGGGAAACAAAGGAAAGCACTTGGGCTGCTCTGTGCTAGGGGCTTCCTTCCACCAAGACATAAAGAAAGAGCTCATCTCCAGACGTCACGACCACATCCATGGTCGCTCAAAGCAGACAGCAAGAAAAGGTTAAATCACAAAAGAGACAATAGATATGTTATTTTCATTTTTGAGTTTTGCTTTTCAAAGTAACCCTTCATGCAAAAGTAACTATATAAGACGATTTCATCTTTTTTGTTGTTGTTTTACTGATACTTCTTCTTTTTTAAAGCAGAATGCCAATTTATTAACTCACCATGAGTAATAAAATTGTCAACTGGAACAAAATGCATGTGTAGGCTGGTCAGTGCATTATCTCTCAGCATAAAAATGTATATGGGAAGCCAGAATATAATTAGAAGGTTATTTTATTAATAGGGAGTCAGAACATGGGGATTAGTTAAATTCAATGATTAGCTCATTAAACCCTGATACCCTGTGCTACCAACTCCACAGTGGGGCTATTCCTGCCAAGAAGATTAGAATCAGCTGTACATACTTGCTTACCTATATCTCTTTCTTGTTCACAGTATGTCCTTATAATAGTGGTTGTAGGGGTTTCAGAGTCATGTCTCTGCCACTTATTAACAGTGTTGAGCAAACAACTTGAGCTGTTTATACCTTAGCTTCCTCAGTCAGTAAACTTGGAATAATAATAGTACTGTCATAGGCTTGTTTCAAGGATTAAATAAAATCATGCAAGTAAAGTCTTTAGCAAAGTATCTAGCACATAATAAGTATTTTTAAAATGTTAGCTGTAAAAAAGTTAGCTGTATTTCCTGTGAATTACTTTTCAGTGGCTTCCAATTACTGTTAGCATAAAGACTAAAATCCCTGTCAGACGTGGTGGCTGGCATCTGTAGTCCCAGCTGCTTGGGCGGTGAAGGTGAGAGGGTCACTTGAGCCCAGGAGTTCAAGACCAGTCTGGGTAACATAGTGAGACTGCCATCTCTTAAAAACAAAAAAAATCCCTACATACTCTTAGAGGCCTAAGTGTGATTTGGCTGCTACTTCTTCAACCTCATCTTGTGCAACACTCCCCTCTTTTGGTCTTTTACTTTGAATTTCTTTTAGTAACAAATTTATTAATTGCTTAGTATCAAAACAAAGCAGGACACATTTTCATTGATTTTATATTATTCATATTGTCTCTTCCTCCCTTCCACAAATATTTATGGCCACATCTATGAGGCAGACTCAGGGACTAATGCTATGACAATCCTGGTCTCTGTTCACTGAAAGATCTAAATGAGAGGAGATGCCTGGCTAACTCCTTATCCTTCCTAACTCAGTGCAGCTGCTACTTCCTGAATGAAACCTTCACCTACAAGATTTGTCACAGGGTCCTTTGGTTTTCTTCATTACACTAAGTGCAGTTTGAAATTACAGATTCGGTGATTATTTGATGAACATTTCCAACTCCCAATTAGGTTTGTAAGTTCCATGATAATGATAATGAGAGGTGGGCTGTTTTGCTCAAGCTTTGTTGCTAAATGCTTGGCACACAAAGGTGCTCAAGAATGTTCAAGAGGGAGAGAGAAGAGAGGGAAAAGGGAAGGAAACAGGAAAAGCAAATGAATATAAAGAATGGCAGTAGGAAACAGAGAAATAAGAGACCCTGGTGATCATATAAAATGAAGGACAAGAGATTCTGTCGTGCTTTGTTTTAGTCACAAGCATTGTAATTAATAAAATTGAGAGCTCTTTACTAACAGAAGTGCATGACCATCCTATTATGAGAGGAATGAGATTTCTAATTTCATAGATTAGTGCCCTAATGGCAAAATAAACCAGGAGAAATTACTGGTTTGTTTCATATCTCATTAATGAGATCTGTTGAATATGAAATGTTGTAAAGCATATAGAAAAAAATCTAATTGCTGCCTAAAGGCTCCAGATTTCTTAACCCAGAGATTATGTAGCAGTAGTCCTACGAAAGAGGCAAAGTTGGGATTAGATAAACTGGTATTTGTGATTTACACAGCAAATATAACAACTCTAGGTCTTAGCCTGATAGGGAGAGAGTTCCAGTAAGTAAAAGAAAGCTTTTGCCGTACAAAAAGCTGTTGATTTGTCAGGAGAAAGGAGGAAGATGGCACTACATATAGGAAAGAGCAATAGTGAAGGTGTGGAGATGTTAGGAAAGAAGCTCCTAGGCTGCGGGTCTTAAGAGTAACTTCTATGTGAAGACAGGCCAAAAAGAAAGAAATCTAGGCCAGATGTCTCCAAAATTATGCCAGTTCTTTAGGGCCAAAGCTTGGATAGCTCAGATGCCCTTAAAAGCAAGCTAACTCTAGTGGGATCAGAAACAAATACTATGAGAATCCTCTCATTTTTAGGCTTTTTGCATTTTGTTTTTATTTTTCTGTTTTTTTCTCTTGATACTTAATCAAATATTTTTATAGTCCCAATGAAGGAGTCTTGGATGGAAGAATGCATAGGGTACAGGGAAGAAGACACTGAAGGAGATAACAATGTAATGATAATAGCTACAATTTATTGTGACAGGTCCCGTTGTAATATCCAGTCCCTACAACAGCTCTAACTAGGCAGTCACTGTTTCTCTTCTTGTTTTACAGATGAAGAAACTAACCTGTAATTCATCCAAGTCACACATCAAATCAATAATGGAGCTGGGACTTGAGCCTGGTTTGAGCTCTAAATTCTTGCCCCTTGTTATAGCCAAATAGAAAATACTTCACACTCTCTGAGGTAACCAGTAACTGTTTGGTTTGTATCCTTTTATACCTTTTTCTGTGAACGTACACACATATACACACATACACATATTTTACTATTCAGAGAAATATGGCTTTTTCTCTTAACAATTTTCATGACCATCTCTCTAGGACAATACATACAGGTATAAATCCTTCTCCACCCCCTACCACCACCCCCCCTTTTTTTGTGTGTGAAACACAGTCTCCCTCTGTCATCCTGGCTGGAGTGTAGTGGCATGATCATAGCTCACTGCAGCCTCAAATTCCTGGGCTCAAGAGATTTTCCTGCCTCAGCCTCCCAAGTAGTTAGGACTACAGGTACACACCACTGTACCCAGATAATTTTTTTATTTTTCGTAGACATGGGTCTTGCTATGTTTCCCCAACTGGTCTCAAATTCCTGGCCTCAAGTGGTCTTCCCACTTTGGCCTCCCACAGTGCTGGGATTAGAGTCCTGAGCCACCAAGCCTGGACCAGAAACTCACATCCTCAGTTGGATATGAGAATATCATTTCCTGACTCTCTCCAGTGCTGGGTTATTACTCTTTTAAATTTTTGTCAGTATGTCAAATGAAAAATGGTAAGAGAATGAATATTTTTATAACCTGGCAAACCTTCACAAGCAAATTTGAATATCCAGAAGCCACAAAGGAAAAGAATGATAGATTTAACAACATACAGGCTGGGCTGACAACATCCCAGCCCCTCAGGAGGCTGAGGCAAGAGGATGGCTTCAGCCCAGGAGTTGGAGACTGCAATAAGCTATGATCATGCTATTGCACTCCAGCCCAGGTGACAGAGCAGACTCCATCTCTTAAAAAAAAAAATTAACGATATAAAATAACGATTAAAAATGAATATAGGCCGGGCGAGGTGGCTCACGCCTGTAATCCTAGCACTCTGGGAGGCCGAGGCGGGCGGATTGCTCAAGGTCAGGAGTTCAAAACCAGCCTGAGCGAGACCCCGTCTCTACCATAAAAATAGAAAGAAATTAATTGGCCAACTAATATATATAATATAAAAATCAGCCGGGCATGGGTGGCTTGTGCCTGTAGTCCCAGCTACTCGGGAGGCTGAGACAGGAGGATTGCTTGAGCCCAGGAGTTTGAGGTTGCTGTGAGCTAGGCTGACGCCATGGCACTCACTCTAGCCTAGGCAAGAAAGCGAGACTCTGTCTCAAAAAAAAAAAAAAAAAAAAGAATATAAAATAACGATTAAAAATGAATAAATTAATGATGTAAAAATTACTATATAAGTAAAATTCAAAGACAAACATAGGAGAAAACATTTGCAGCATATATGACAAAGGGTTAATACTAATTGATAAGAAAAAATATAAGTAGTCCAGTGAAAACTAGGAAAAATTATAAGCTGGTAGTTCACTGAGGAGAAAATGAAAATTGTCATCAACATATAAAAAGATGCTCAACCTCACTGATAGGGAAATGAATTAATGAATGAATGAATGTTAGAGAAGTGAGTTTAGAGAAAAACTAGAGGCATGGAGGTGGGGGAGGTAGGTAGGAGGAGGAATCTAAATAATAGGATGTGGTGTCTCTAGCTTCACCATTAGTTTGGCCTCTGGAGGAGTTTTCATGATGCTGATGATGTTTTTCAGAATTGCTAATGGTGCCATTCATTGGGATATATAGGATGCAAACACTAGGATTCAAATTTCACTCCTTTCTAAGTATGGATGTAGTTGCTTTCTAGATTGAGTCAAGCTACCTTCAAAGCCTGTTAGATCCATTTAATACATATGATGAAAGTGTTATCCTTCAGGACCATGGATACTTTTTTTTTTTGAGACAGAGTCTCACTCTGTTGCCTGGGCTAGAGTGCCGTGGCATCAGCCTAGCTCACAGCAACCTCTAACTCCTGGGCTCAAGCGATCCTCCTGCCTCAACCTCCGGAGTAGCTAGGACTACAGGTATTTGCCACCATGCCCCGCTAATTTTTTTCTATATATTTTTAGTTATCCAGCTCATTTCAATTTTTTTAGTAGAGATGGGGTCTTGTTCTTGCCCAGCTGGTTTCAAACTCCTTAGCTCAAATGACTTGGCCTCCCAGAGTGCTAGGATTACATGCATGAGCCACCACGCCCACGGCCTAATACTTTTTCTGGAGGAAGCAGTGGGCTCTTAAACTTAAATGTGTATTTGAATCACCTGGGGATCTCATTATACTATTTATTTCAGCAAGATTCTGCATTTCTAACAAGCTCCCAAGTGGTGCTCATCCTGGTAGACTATGGACCACACTTTGAGTAGCAAGGATCTGGACTAGTAGTCTGCAAAGTGGAATACGGTATCCCTGGGGCTACCTGAAAGCTTTTCAAGGTCTGTCTGAATGTGGATGTAGTTTTCTCAGGGAATCAGTTTCCATATCCTCAATTCCATATGAACTATCTTCTAACATTGATCTGCCTGAGAGGGGCCCAATTCCCTTTTTGCATTGGTCCTTCTTTTACTGTATTGAAGAAAGGAAGCTCTCTTACCACAGCCGAATTTCTCTATGGGGTGCTAAACAAAGGAACACACTAATATATTGGTGTAGATACTGAGAAAATGAATGACTTTGATAGCTAACAAATATTTTTGCAAGTTAAATCTTGTCTAATCCTTTATTTTAATTTTAATTAATTTTTTTGAGGCAGGGCTTTCTTCCCTCTGTCACCCAGGCTAGAGTACAGTGGCATCAGCCTAGCTCACTGCAACTTCAAACTCCTGGGTTCAAGTGATATTCTCCTTCCTCAGCCTCCTGGGTAGCTGGGACTACAGGCATGAGCAACCATGCCTGGCTAATTTTTTTTTTTTTGGTAGAGATGAGGATCTCCAGGGTCTCGCTATTGCCCAGACTGGTCTTGAACTCCTGAGCTGAGGTGATCCTCCTGCGTTGGCCTCCTAAAGTGCTAGGATCCTTTGTTTTCTACTCAAATGGATGACTTAATGACATTGTTAGCTGATAGATCATTAAACATAATTTTGGATAATAGATCACTATGTGGGTTTTATTTGTTGGCATTTAACCCAGAAGGAATTTTTTTTTAATTACTGAAATTGCTCTAACAAAACCCCTTCCATAATCATCTACTTATTTATATGAATAAGATTACTCAGTGCTTGCACCTATAAAAGTGAAAAGTAGAATTAGAATCAATAAATAAACTCTATTTCTAACAAAATATTCTTCTATAGACTTATAAACTAATTGGAATAAAAGGCCCTAAACACACACACACAAATACACAAACACAAGCTTATATAATTTTCCTTTTTTTTTTTTTTTTTTTTTTGAGACAGAGTCTTACTTTGTTGCCCAGGCTAGAGTGAGTGCCATGGCGTCAGCCTAGCTCACAGCAACCTCAAACTCCTGGCTCAAGCAATCCTTCTGCCTCAGCCTCCCAAGTAGCTGGGACTACAGGCATGCGCCACCATGCCTAGCTAATTTTTTCTATATATATTAGTTGGCCAATTAATTTCTTTCTATTTATAGTAGAGATGGGGTCTCGCTCTTGCTCAGGCTGGTTTTGAACTCCTGACCTCGAGCAATCCGCCCGCCTCGGCCTCCCAGAGAGCTAGGATTACAGGCGTGAGCCACCGCGCTCGGCCCTTTTTTGATAGATGAATTATGAAACATTATAACATATTTTTCATTTTGATCAGTTGTGTACTAATTATCATATTGATAACTTAAGCCAAAGGAAATTTTGCTAACTCTTATAGACATATGGTCATAATAAATGTTTTCTAATACATTTAAATTTATATGCATATTTTGGTACAGAGTAGGTAATAAGGTGATCAATTATATTTTTCAAGATAAAGTATATTACATTGGTATAAAATTCTGTCAGGGAAGTATATTGGACATCACAGAGAAAAAGGAACAATATAAACGTTCCTGCTATTAAAGAATAATCTGTTTATATATTTTTTAAAATAAACGATGATAAGTATTAAATCTCTATGGTGTTTAGATTCCATTGGATATATTTAAAAGAGTTATAGTTTATAATACTTGAAATGCCAGTATTTACAATATGCTAAAAATGATAACCTTTTCAACTGTACTTATGATAAAAATCTTTAGATGTCTATCTACTTAAAAGTGTGGTGGTAGCATGTGATTTTTAAGAATTATTTTTGGAGTAAAAAGACATAAAAATTTGAAGCCCACATATCTAGACCCATTGAGAAAAGAGGGTGCTTCAAGAATTCAGAATCAAATTATTTAGAAATGGATTTCTCTGAGTTTTTGTAAAAGTGGTTATCAAAGAGGCAATCCAGGATAGCTCAGGCAGGAACTTCATATAAGGCTAGGTCTGGGTAGCATGTGGAAATAGTATCAAAAGTGTGATCACTTTCTGGTCCAAAACAGCATGTAGATGCTATGAATCAGATATTTTTCAGGGTTTCCCCAACTTTGGCACTATGGACATTTTGTGCTGGATAGTTTGTTGTTGTGGGGGTTTGTCCTGTGCATTATAAGATGTGTAGCAATATCCCTGGCCTCTCTCCACTAGATACTAGTAGCACCCCATATCCCCCTCCCCAACTTGTGACAACTGAAAATGTTCTCCCAGTTAAGAACCCCCTGAGATACTGGAACATTGCAGGGTTATGGCTAATGCTGGAGTTCATAACTCAGGTCTAAATCACCTGTGTGCTGTCTGGATGGCAGCCTTATTTTCATCCTCTTTGGAGATTAGAATGAAGTTGTAGCTACAAAAAGTCTCACATGATGAAGCCCACAGCCCTGCAGAGAGGTGGTAATGGTCCTGTCTGTGGACTACGATAGACTCGAGTCTCTGGCCCTGACAGTACTGGAGTAGTCAGTCCCATTGGCTAGGCTTTTGGACGCTGGGCATGAGAATAACGTAGGCAAGGAGAGGGATGGTGAAGCAGGTTTAGGTCTGGCCACTGCCCCCACTGCCTGGAGGCAAAGCTGTTGGCTGTGTGGAGGTGGCCTCCTAATCTGAGATCTAAGAACATCAGCCATTAGGTCCCATTTGTCTGATCTAGTGGAGTCCAAGTACCATCCAGGAGCCTAGGAAGCATGTGATGGCCATGACTGTGTATCTGTGTGACTCTTCATCTTTACTTTGGGGGCAAGACATACTGGCAAATGCTACCATCTATTGTCCTTATAGGTGGTCCCAGACCTAGATGGAAAATGGCTCTTGGTGGTTTATAAAAATACTCAAAACTTTCAAATTCACTACCCGTGGTCAATGGCTGCAGTGAAATGCCAGCTCCCTGTAGCTCAGTGACTCATAACCATTTTTTATATCTGACAAAATCTATGGACTTCTCCTTAGAAATATGCATCATACACACACACAATTTTATATATAATTTCTGAAGCTCAACCATATACTGCAAGTTAAGAATCCTTGCTGGTAACTCTCATAATGTAAATTCACATTCCCTAGTATTCTGCAGTCCCACCTCTAGCAATTTATTCTAAAGAAATATTAAAATTCATGACCAGTCTTGGTGGCTCACGCCTATAAACTTAGAACTCTGGGAGGGTGAGGCAGGAGGATTGCTTGAGGCCAGGAATTCGAGACCAGCCTGAGCAAGAGAGAGACCTGGTCTCTACCAAAAACAGAAAAATTAGCCTGGTGCAGTGGCATGGGTCTGTAGTCCCAGCTACTTGGGAGGCTCAGGCAGAAGGATCACTTGAGCCCAGGAGTTTGAGGTTGCAGTGATCTATGATGACACTACTGCACTCTAACCTGGATGACAGAGTGAGACTCTGTCTCAAAAAAAATTTTTTTTTAAGTTCAGAAAAATAAGAAGAGAAAGCCACCTATACTGCCAGCTCTTTAGCAAAACTGTTAACATTCTTTTCATTTTTAAAAAATACAGTTTAAGTATACTTCTATTAAATAGTATAAATATATTAATTTCATCAAATGTTAAATCGCTTCATTAGCATTTTCCATGTCATCACCCAGTCTTAGTATTCATAATTGTAAAGTACTCCATAATGATAAATACAGAGGATTTACTGATCAATTTCCTTATTGTTAGACATAGAGGCTCTTTGTAAAATAGTTTTTCCATTATTTAAACAACACTGTAAATGAACTTCTTATACATATAATATTTTTTATATTTGGAATTTTTTCTTTAGGAAATATTCATCAAAGTATAAAAATGGGTCGAGGTAGAAGTACGGGGTCAAAGCTTATTGATTTGTATTACTGCAGTTGTTTCCCACTCAAGTGGCTTTGAGTCTGGCCAGACCCCCTGCCACCTGTTCCTGAAATTATGCACAAAATGGGAGAAGGGAGAGAAAATGGAGATTGTTCCAACTTGAAAGTTCTGGATGATCCAGCTGGTTGGGCAGCTAAGTACCAGGAGACAGAAAGCACCAGAAATGGTCCCTTACTTAAACTTTTGGGGCTGTTCAGTTCTCTTTGACTGAGTCTCCTGGTTGGGCCAGGGTGAAATTCGTGGACTTCTATCAACCTATTCACATCCTTGGGAGACTAAATGATCATTCAAACACCCACTGATAAGTAACAACCATATAAGCAGATGATATGAACAGTTTACAAGAAATACAAATAGCTAATAAATATGTGAAAAAGATATTCAATCTCACTCATAAAGAATGCAAAGTAAAATGAGACTGCATTTTTTATCTATCAGATTGGAAGACAAATAAAAGTTTGGTAATGCCCAGTGTTTATAAGCGTATGAAGAAATAGGCACCCTCATACATTGTTGCTGGGAATGTAAACAGATTCAACTCTTCGGGAGGGTAATTTAGCAATGTCTGTCAACATTTTGAATGCTAGTACTCCTTGACTCAGCTGATTCTATCAGTAGAAATTGGCCCTAGGGATAAACTGGCAAAGTTATGGGGAAATCGCTTGCAAGGATCTTCACTGCAACATTGTAATTAACAAAAAACTGGAAAACACTAGATATCCATGAGTAGGGGACCAGTTAAATATATTTGTGTAATGCAAAAGTATGCAATCATTAAAGCATGAGGTAGAAGAGTATGTGCTGATATGGAAAGTTCTTCTAAATATGCTATGCTCAAAAAATCAATATGCATAGCAATATTCTCATTTGTGCTAAATTAAAAAGTAGATATACAGGTATATGTAGACTTTTTTCAGGAAGGATTCAAAACAAGTGGTAGTAAATATTGGAGGGTGGCACTGGGAGTTGGGGGGAGGAGAAGATAATCTTTGCTTTTTGTTTGACACTTTTCATTTTTTATACCAGGTGAATGTAAAAATAAATATTTTGAAATCAGACAAGAAACACGGAGAGATAAAGAAGAGGGAGAAAAGGGATAACTTGGATGGGAGGTTACGGTTTGTCCTGGCATGGGACAGCTTTGTTTTAGCTGCATTAATAAAAAGCATTATGACCAGACCATTTGGATTTTCTTTTTCTTTTTTTTTTTTTTGAGACAGAGTCTCACTTTGTTGTCCAGGCTAGAGTGAGTGCCGTGGCGTCAGCCTAGCTCACAGCAACCTCAAACTCCTGGGCTCAAGCGATCCTCCTGCCTCAGCCTCCCGAGTAGCTGGGACTACAGGCATGCGCCACCATGCCCGGCTAATTTTTTTATTATATATTAGTTGGCCAATTAATTTCTTTCTATTTATAGTAGAGACGGGGTCTTGCTCTTGCTCAGGCTGGTTTCGAACTCCTGACCTCGAGCAATCTGGCCGCCTCGGCCTCCCAGAGTGCTAGGATTACAGGCGTGAGCCATCACGCCCCGCCCATTTGGATTTTCTGAGGACCATCAGGGCAGCAACCTGGAGGATGGAGGGGAGATGTGAGACTAGAGTCAAAGGACCAATAGGAAGTTTTTGCAACAGAGTGGGGCTCAAATTTAGGAGGTGTTAGTGAGGATGGAATAACAGCCCCAGAAAGGAGAGTTATTAAAAAGAAACACTGACAGCTTTGGTGCCTGATTGGATGAGTAGGATAAGAAAGGAGGAATTAAAGAGGCAGCCCAGGCATTTGCCTTGGGCAGCTGAGTGGATGGCATTGCTGCCTAAGCAAATACTCAGGAGGAAGGAGAGGGTTAGAGACCAGAAGAGTTTGAAGAAGAAAATGAGTTCAACTTGAAAATGATGAGTTAAGGAATATGTTGTATTTGAACACATTGAGTAGACATATAGATCTGGAGCTCAGAGAATTCTGGGTTGGAAATGAAACAAAGTGGATAAGATGTGGATCAGGTTGCTTTTGAAGACAGCGACATCAGATGAGGTGGTAGTCGAAACTAAATGTAAAGAAATTGTACAGTCCAAAAAGAGCCCTGTATCAAGGTAGGACTTTAGAAATCACCTATCCTTAAGGGCTGAGTACAGGAAGAGGAACCCTCAGGGAGGCTGAGAAGGAGTGATCAGAGCTACGAGAGGTAAACCACGAGGGAGTGAGGTCACAGATGACTGTTCCCTGCTTCTGGCTGGACATTGTGACTGACTTTTTAAGCCACTACCGCACCAATGCCAATTCTGCTCTTGCCACATCTGCCCAATAAAATTCCAACCCTGGATTTTCTTTTTATGCTCCTGAGAAAGACCACTCACCAGTAAGAATGACCCCACTCCAAATTCATGGTTTACGTCTCTGTGCCACCCGTCAATTTTTTTTTTTTACTTATTCTTGGTGGGCTCTGGCTCTTATTCCCCAGTTATTCTAAATGACTACCGTGCTTTGCTTCTTATCGCTCACTTACATTCTCATCTTCCTGGCCAATCTCAACTTCCTACTTCAGGGAATAAATGAAGCCCTCAGGGGTGAGTGCCTTTAACATCTCATTCTTCTCTCTATCAACGTGCCTAAAATCATACACACCTTCTTTCCCAAGTGCTGTATTCAGCCTACAAGGATGAGGTTCAGCTCCCATTTAGCTCTAGTGTCCCTCCAGGAGGCCTCTCTGACGCTGTCCCATCCCTGAGCCTGAGCTACTTGTTCCTTCTTCTGTCTGTATTCCTGTAACATGCATTATGTATTTATTTCCCTATTATAGCATTTGCCATGCTGAACAAAAGTTATCTCACTGTCTGTCTCCAATAAGCTTCATAGTGTGCATGATGGTTTTTTCTTCCTTAATTTCTCATTGATATATAACATCATAGAGGAAAGTGCACTCATCGGAAGTATATAAACCACAGAATTTTCACAAACTGAGCACACCTCGTACAGCCGGCACCCCAAAATTCTCTTAGTTAAACTAATAGATTAATTATGGCTGTTTTTGTACTTTTTTTTTGAGACAGAGTCTCACTTTGTTGCCCAGGCTAGAGTGAGTGCTGTGGCATCAGCCTAGCTCACAGCAACCTCAAACTCCTGGGCTCAAGCAATCCTGCTGCCTCAGCCTCCCGAGTAGCTGGGACTACAGGCATGCGCCATCATGCCCGGCTAATTTTTTCTATATATAATAGTTGGCCAATTAATTTCTTTTTTTTTTTTTTAATCTATAGTAGAGACTGGGTCTCACTCTTGCTCAGGCTGGTTTCGAACTCCTGACCTCGAGCAATCCGCCCGCCTTGGCCTCCCAGAGTGCTAGGATTACAGGCGTGAGCCACCGTTTTTTTTTTTTTTTTTTTAATACCTAGAGAACTGGGAACATTTTTTTAAATGAACCAAAAATAGTATGTAGTCTTTTGAATAGACCACAATTTATTTATCCATTCAAATATGGTAATTGGGTAGTTTCCCATCTGGGGCTGTTGCAATGTCAAGTATGGTAGAAGGCAGTGAAGATGTTTATTATGGAAACAAGAACCAAGGAAGGGGATGAGACGGGGACCAGCTTGCTTTTGGAGGCACTGTGTTTTATTTACCTTCGTAGCTCCAGCATTTCACATATTCCTAGCATAATGGTTTGCGTATGAACAGATGAGAGCGGTCAAGGAGTGTTTTTCCACAGTATCTTTGGATGGTGAGATAATACCTAAAATATTAGATTTATTCTTGGGTGCCATTTTTAAAATGGGATATTGATAACTTGAATTGTCCATAGAGAGCAACCACACTGGTGTGTCTGGAAGCCATTCTATGTCAGGAATGGTGGAAGGAACAGAAGATGGTTATATTGGAAACAAGAACTAAAGGATCAGGCATGGACCAGGTTGCTTTTGAAGACAGCATTGGACCAATGGCTAATTATTTGGGGGAGGCAGCTTTCTGCTCAATAATGATACTGACTAATATTTATAGAGCACTTACCATACACCAGGCCCCAGCATGTGCTAATGGCTGGTATCCATTAGTTCAATATGAGAATGACTTTTTAAATGGTGAGAACTGAGCATGAGCTGCCTGGTGAAATTGTGATCACTTCATGGCCGCAGACAAAAGCCCTCCCATTCGGGTGCAGTGGCTCATGCCTGTAACCCCAGCACTTTGGGAAGCCCAGGCAGGAGGATCACTTGAGGCCAAGAGTTTGAGACCAGCCTGAGCAAGAGTGAGACCCTGTCTCTATAAAAAGTAGAAAAATTAGCCGAGTATGGTGGCAAGCACCTGTAGTCCCAGCTACCCCTGGGAAGCTAAGGGAGGAGGATCGCTTGAGCCCAGGAGTTTGAGGTTGCAGTGAGCTATGATGATGCCACTGCATGTACTCAAACCAACACAGGGAGACCCTGTCTCAAAACAAACAAAAAACAAAAAAGCACTCCCAGGGCAGGTAGGCCTCCCTGCCCCTGCCCTACTACCCACCTAGTGGAACTGCCTTGTTTCCTGAAAGCAGCCTCCTACAGCTCCTCTGTGGGCCCCCTCACAGCAGGCAGATTACAAAGTGTTTCTGTCAGGAGCTTCCTTCTGGTCCTCTCCCTCTGCTCTGGGACCCTCTCCTCTCCACCCAGGATGTCTGCCCAGCACTGCCCTCTCCTTCCCATGTCTCAAAACCTTCACCTGCTTGGAATATGTCTTCATGTAGCCAATGGTCCTTTTCAGTTACCTAAAGTTTATGTTTTGTTTGTTTTTAGACCAAAAAAGTGAGGCAGGAGCAATGACATTTGCAAAGTACCCAGTAAGGGGGAAAATGCAGGAGAAATCCTTCCCTAGATGTATCTGTCCAATTTGTAACTTTAGGCCCCAGAAAAAAGAAAAGCCCAGACAAATAAATCCGTGTTGCTAAATGCAAAAAAAGTGTTTATTAAAAGCAAAATGCTGTGGTCCTTGCAGGGTACACTGTGCTGCTGGCCCTGGGACAAGATGCTTTATCTCTCCATCGGCGCCTGAGGCCTAAGCCTGGCGGCTGCAGAGTCACAAAAGAGGCCTGGTTGAGCGAGACAAGCAGGCTGTGGTGGCCCTAGCCTAGCCCCCCTAGCCTAGCCCTCTTGCCCTCTGCGCTGCATTCCCTGCCCCAGAATTAGAACCCTGCTCTCTCCTCACTCTTGTTTCTAGTTGCTTTTGATTCCTCTTTTTTTTTTTTTAATGAGGGCTAGAGAGAATCCAATGTTCAGGGAGCTGGACAACTTGTGGGCAGATCCCCCAAGCCTCGCTCCCCTCCACTCCTGCAGCCATAATTCATGTCTTTTATTTCTTCTCCTCTGCTGGACAGAGCCAAGCACACACTAACAGTGTTAACACGATAAATATCAGCAGTCCTGACCTTTCCCTCTGGGTCCCGGAGTCTTCCTGGCTCCCAAGCTCTGGCTTGTTTGTGCTTAAAATGGATTAGCACTTACCGTTGGCTGCAGGGCCCTGCACTCCGGGTTTGATGGGAATCAAAATAGAGATTACCTTATTTGACTTAAAAAAATTTCCACTTGAAAGATAGAATCCCCCAGAGAAATCCACTGGGGCTTATACATATACAACTTTAAATTGGATTTTAAAAATAGTTTGCCAGCTGTTTGCTAGGTCATACTTGAGGTTCTCGTGGTTGATTGATGTTGAGTCCATTGGGAAACAAGGCCAAGAGGGGATTGAGGGGCTGCCAAGGCTGCAGGGTCCCGGATGCCTGGGGACTTTCCCAGGAGCCCTGGTAGTTGTTGCCATGGGCCTTTAGAAGCTCTCGGATCCCTGCCACCAAGGTCTGTGTCTCTCCCAGAGAAAATGACCACAGTGCTCCAACCACCTCCCCCAGACCTCGCCTCACCCCTGCACTGCCTCTTCTCAGCCAAAGTTTGAAAGAACAGAAATGAAAGAGGACTGTTCTCAGCCACTGGAGGGATGTTCCACATTTTTTCTTGTGGCTAAATATTTATTTTAGCTCCTTGTGTGACCTTCAGGTGATGCATACATGGGCCCTCTGCCTGAACTCTCATCCCCCTCCCCTGCTTCTTCCTCTGCTCCTGCCTAACTGCTGTTCATCTCTCAGGCCTCAGCCAGAATATGACTTTCTCAGGGAAGCAAGAGGGGCAGCAGAGTGTGGTGGTTAGTAACACCAGCATGCCAGGGGTTGAATC